CGCGGGGCGAAGGGGGGGGGGGAGGGGAGGTTTGGTTGTACAGGCTGACAGAAGGATAGCATTGTTCGGAAGTACAATGTACGTTGTTATGCCAAAGCGGCATGCACGACCCTCGAGCACAATGGCGTCAGTGCGGGAGGAAGATAGCGCGAACCCGCGAGGAGAGAATACGCGTCGTCAGTTTCGGCGCGGAGACTGCAACTTTTCCCGACCGCTCTCTTTCTCTCTCTCTCTCCCTTCCCCTCCCCCCTCTCTCTTTTTCTCTCTCTCTCCGGCGCACTTTTTTCCGATACTGTTTTTTTCCATCCATGAATTATAGCTCACGGTAGAACGATTCTGGAACGCTCGCGCTTTTTATGGAGCCGCGGCGCCGTTCATCACCGCAGGATGTTCCCGGATACACACCCCGATAATTAAAGCGGAGCAGGACCTCGCGGGACGAGAGTCGAGCCTTATTTATTTTCGACATTGTTTCGGCAAGAAATTTTCGCTTCGGGTTTTAACTCGCGTGCGAAAATGGCAGGGTGCGCGTGTCCCGTTCGAGAACAGCTTCTGTAGTGTCTATATGAAAATCGGTCGACAGGTAAAACTAAAAGTAATTTGGGATAAACATAATTTACTGTGCGAAAGCCGCAAAAGGATTAGAATCAATCCATATTTCTTGTGTAACGGGACTAATAATTTATTAAAACGAATGACTAATTATTAACTATAATAAAATAACGTTATATATTTATTAAACAGATTTATGAATAATTTGATGAACATGCTTCTCAAATTTGTATCGTTGAAATGAGAAATGTATAAAAGTTCTATGTAAAGAATTTTATGTACACCTACACGGAAAATTGTAGCTGCCGTAGTCAAAAACTGCATGTGGTAACTAAATTTCAGTTATAAAATATGGACAGCTAATATTTAATTGTGATACATAACATTTTACTACTGTGCCTATTGTATTAGGTGCGACAGCAAACTGTGTGGTTTAGAAATTTATAGTTAGTGCAGCAAAATATTTTTCGCAAATCATGATTCGCTACGGTAGCAAACATTTTTTTGGTAGTGTACATCTTAAAAATAATACTAAAGAAAGAAATAATTGCCTCTTAAAGTTCCATGTCTTGAAACGGTGTGTGCGTGATTATCTACTTTACTTTATATTTCCGATTTATTTAATACTTATTTTATTATTTATCTTCTATTATTAGTCATTGCGATGCGAACACGGGAAATAGCGAACGTACCTGTATCGGTAAAATAAATTTTGCAAAAGCGTTTGTAAAATGCATAACTTTTGTTCAATCGGTAAGTAAGTTAAAATTATTATGAACAATGCAATATTGCGATAAATTTTGGTTGTAATTATTACAGCTGTTCGAAAGCACAAACGCGTCAAAAACAGGTACAGTTACGTGCCTGCAAGTGATAGTCGAGCGCCGAATTCAAAGCTGCGCTCTCGTACATATTTCCTCGCTCTCGCTGCACGAGAATGAAAAGTCCCGACTTTCCTAGCGGCTGATAGTTTGTTTGCCACGTCCCAGCTTTTTTCTCCCTGCCCGTGCGCGTGTGCTACATAATACACTTTCCCGTAATGGATATACATTTTCTGAAAACTGGCAATCTATAAGAATATTCCGCAAGCAACGGAAATTGAAGTAATATTTATGCAATGATATACAAAATAATCACCATAACAATCTGATTGTCAATCAGTCGTTTGCGGTAAGTTGCCAATAAATGAAAAATATCTCTCCGCAATTCAATTTAATTCCCTTAGTACCTTTCCGCTAATAATTTCTTTAAAAATATCCCACGGCTTATATATTATCATTAATTCTGTCAATTATTTTCTTTCGAACGGTATAATGGATTAGCTTTATTTGTCGGAAACGTTCTCTCGTCCGTCATGTTTTATTCCGCTTGTTGCTATTTGCGTAGCCACAGCCCATATAGTCATGTATATCACGGTACTCTTTATTTTGACAAATTCCCAATTATACTCTTATAGCATTGATGGAAATTTACGTAAATATCTCGGTATATTTTAATGGAACGCGAAATCACAGAGGCAACTTCTATTTCTGCACCATACAGAAATATGTCTTTCAAACGTTATTAATTTTGTCGCCGTCAATACTACACGACTTTTCATTTCACTACAATTCGATTACTCCTGATTCGTCACAGAAAGTTCGTATAATGCAATATTCGATTTGATATAATTGTTACAGATAATAGATTGACTTGTTCAAGAAACTGTTAAGAACCAGTGTAACGAAAAGTAATTATCAAGTTTATCAAAACTTAAATCAAAATAGTTATTTGAAACTATTAATGGATTGCTAATTAATGAAAAGATGGGAAGTTTGAAACAGAAAATTAGTTTGTGACTTCATATATTTTTCATTATGAGTAATAAAATACTTAAAACTTTTATTACTGCGATAATGTTACATTATTGTTATAGTTTTCTTTTTTAAAAGCTATTATTTTTATTATGGATTGCCATTTGATCGAAATAATATTTATTTTGTCGTTAATAAGTAAGCTCTTCATTTATGTATCTTTATTATATTATATTTTGTCGGGCTAATATTATTTTTTAGAATCCTTTATTTACGGATATTGTCAGATCCAATTTCTCCGTTAGTAACGTATTAGAAGGTTCTATTCGATTCCACTTTGAATCTCAATCAATAAATTTCCCAGTCCTCGATCTTCGAATTTTGCCACCGCGTCGGAAATCGTGCAATCTAGCCTGCCAGAAGACCGACGTAAATTAGTATTCCCTTCGAGAAGACTCGGAACAACTGACCCAGTAAGAGATTACTCTCCTGTCACAATATTAGCTCCTGAAACTCTTCGCAGAAACTTTTTTGTCTGTAAGTTCCGAACTACCGAAGATATTCCCTTTTAAGTGCCCTGCTTCGTGTTTAATGAAAGGACGTGGGTGCAAGAGCGGGACGGTCCGGGATGGGGTTGAACATTGGAAACGTTGGAATGAATTGAAGAGGGGCAAGGAAGCGTCAGGTGATAACATCAGAATGTAATTGAAACTTTCGCGCTGCTGCTCCGTCATTTTTCTGTCTGACATTCGGCGACGACGGCGACGACGACAACGGTAACGCCGACATCTGGATTCATTACTTATAGTCTGCCAACGCTCGGTTATTACGAAACTTACGGTGTCTCGGGATAGTAATTAAGGCGCCCTCTCTCACTTCCATTCTTTTTCCGAACGACATTGTACTAATTAAGCTGGGAATGCTTGAATCTTGAATGAAGCCTGGCACGGCTTTAAAAGAAAACGTTTAGAGCATCGAAATTATCTCAGTCGCGCCGGGCAAGATGCTTTATGAAGAATCATTCAATGCGTAAAGAAATAACGTAAAATTGAACGTTAAAAGATGATTAAATATTTTTATATAGACAAATAATAAAATATATTTATACTTATACATACATTATGTATGAATAAATGTTGAGAGTAATTGAATAGGAGTAAAATTATTAACACTTATTTAATTCAGTCAAATGCATTTATTAAGTTTTAAATTAAATTAAACGATACGAGATTTTGCAATTAGATAATGAATTTTCTTTCGTAAATATTTCCGCTGAGCAGATTGTAATTATAGATTTGTAAAGTCCAAGTTTTTTATTTTAACCGAGTTTTTCTCTCCATATTATGATCAAATGTTTACTTTGAGAAACTGTTCGCAATAACATTCACTTTTGGGATTACATAATTTTAGATACGCTTTATAATACCTTATGTATGTAACATTTCAGCGGTCTTAATTGTGCATCTATAAATATAATGTATCTCTTTTAAAGTTAAGAAAGTTAAGAAACTGACTACGATAAATATGTTAAGTGAACCGCATTGCGCACGTACGCTGCGTAATAATACATTAATGTCACCGTCTAGTTTGCGGCGCGATTAAAGTACGAATGTGCACTATGACAAATAATTGTAGCTGCTACATCACAACCCGGTACGATATTGTTGATAAATTCATTCGAGCATTGCATATAATTACTTTTGTCCGAATTTCGCAATTATTTTGAATCCAACATCGAACGTGTATACGCACATGCGGCGGGATATTCGATGTAATCCAAAGTTTCCATAAAGTTTACATCTTTCTGATAGCTTGATGCATTTTACACATTGCTTGTATGAATATCGCGCCACGTAATAATTCATATTTGTTTTATTAATGTTGAAGCACACTTCTGCTAAAAGCGTCAACATAAATTTTTACTGTTTCTGTTTTACGTTTATGATTGTTTCCTAAATTATTTTATTCTAAATTATAAATGTCTTACATATCTGGACTAAATAATACACGACATTTTGTGTTTAACTTATGCGAAGAAATATCGCAATTTACAAAAGAATATTTAGACAAATAATTTATTTAATAATCTTACGTAGTTTTTAATCTTCGGCCCGCTTTCATGTTTCGCGTCTGTTATTTGTTAGTTCCATTTATAGTCACAGAAACGTCAGCTTAACAAATTGTTTGTGCACTCTATGAATTTCGATTGTTGTCGACGAAAACGGTCGGATCAACGTCGAAACGGGAGTGAACGAGAAATTAATTGTTCCACGGAGATCTCGCGTCATCGCGTTTTACAACAATCTGCAGGGTAGATTCGCTCTCCAAAAAATAATATCCCCGCGAGAATGCGTTATCGTATTGCCGGCTTTTCGCGCTCGCGCATTCGCGTCGATTTAAAGCCATCACATATGTATCAATTTAAGAGCATAAGCGTAGCGTGTAAGCCCGCCGACGGATAGAGCATTTTACATAAATTCTATCAAACAATAGGACAACTTATATTCGGTACGCCGTTAGTCACGCAGCTTATATGTTATGCTGTCAGGCCAATTTGTGCGCGATGGCCGGTATCGCGTGCTAAATTCGCACGTGCTATTTGTCACCCGGCAGAAACATTGTTGCATCGCTTTAATAATAATTTCGTGGTTACAGTGGCGTGCTCGACGGTGACGGTGAAAAAGTGTCAGGCGGCACTGAAAACCCTGCAGGCTTTCACTTTCTTCCGACCGACGTGCCTCTGCAGGGAACCGCATGTCGATCCGGACTGCAACAGCTTCCAGAACTTCCTGTTCGATCATCCGTGCGACTACGTGGAATGGAAAGGTAAGAATCCATATTTGCAATGAGGTAAAAGTCATTTTCAGTTGCACATATTTATCTTCCATTTTCTGACGTATGCCACGCGACACTATACATAGTAAGGTAATGGATTGATAGTTTAATTATATCTGGAATATTTATGGTTGGATTCTTTTCTAATGTCGTAGCAAGAGCTTGAAATCGAGTCTGAAAGAAAATCTAAGATATTTAAAAAAATCCAGTAAATTTAGGCTCTCAAAGTATAACAATTAAGGTTGAATAATCCGACACAACTGGCTACAGGAAACTTCCTTTATTAACAACGTTTCGGCCATGGGTTTCGGCCCTTTTCAAGTAAATTCTACAATTTCCAGTTGGCGTATGGCATGTGGTTAAATGCCCACTGGACTGAAATGGGGACGTCAGATTACATACTTACGTGCTAGTAACAATATGATTTAAAAAAGGAAGTAAATTATATTAGTTCAATACATACGTTCGGATTGTCACTACAGAGACATTATATCTCCCTAGAAACGCGTGATTACTGTATGGGCGCAGAGTTTCCTGTGAAGGAAGTTTCCTGTACCCAATTGTATCGGATTATGCAACCTAATTGTTAACTTATACATATATAATATCTTTATTGATTCCCCTCAGGGTTGCAAGGCACTTTTCGAGTGAGCGTTTCCGAGCCCTTTACACTTTACCTAATTGTTAACTAATTACTGGCGATTCAATTCAAAAACCAGTGGAGGGTAGGAAAGGCAAATGCGAGCCATACGCACACTGAAAAAAATTTCTGGTTGAATATGGACGAATCAGATAATTCCTTTAGGATTTACCAGAATTCCTTTAGGATTTACCAGAATTTCTGTAGGATTACAGGAATTCTGGTAAATCCTAAAGGAATTATCTGATTCGTCCATATTCAACCAGAAATATTTTTCAGTGCAGGTAATAAGGCGTAGTCTCTAAAATAGTCATGGGCAATATAATAGTAGAATGTAAAATGCAGATGTATTATAATAATTATTATAATAATAGCTCGCATTCGCTACCCATCTCTGACGTTAAGATATTTAAACAAATTATCTAATATATAATCTTATTACATTTAATCGGTCTTTAGTTTTGTTGTTTGTTCTATTCCAGTATAACTAAAAGTGTTGGAAAAGCTTAACATAATTATTAGTGTACTTAATAATTTTCGATGTCAAGCTACGACCCACAGCTTTACGGCCGTCGCAAAACGCTGTATGATTTTCGAAACTCAGAATAAATCGATTGTAGAGGCTATTTCGGCGTTTTTCTTAAAGACAAAATGAAAGCTCGACCGATCTTCGCACCCACCATTCTATGTAACTTTGTTCCTACGGGTTTCATTGTTGATATTCCCGTGGGCTCGTTCATGCGCGCTACCAAGTCTTTTGAGCTTTTCCAAATGATTCATGGATAATTCCCGATGCGCTCCTCTTCATTTCTACCCATTACTTTTTTTTGCATCTCTCCAACCCACTTCCCGTCCCGGAGAGAATCGTTGTCTTCGTAAAAGCTCTTTACAGTTCAAATATCGATGAGTTGCTTTTGGGTTCACTGAAGTGGGTCGATAGTCTACTTACTTAATATTTGCCGCGTTGTCGCTTTCCTGATTTTTTTACAGTGATGTCTTCTTTTCCTTTAATTTAACGAACAATTTCTTAATGTCGACCCATGTATACAGAGTTGTAGATGGAGAAAGAGTGTTTTTCAAGTCAACGGTTGATCTTGTCAAAGATCACTCGCGTTTATTAATCGCTGACGATTAAATCGGTTGGAATAAAAAGCAGACCATCGATCATCGAGTTACGTAGATCAGGTTAAATCGTGAACGCGCATAGAGGCTCGAATATAATTTGACGAAGTAATAAGTTGTGCAATTAGGCCACTCCGGATCGCAGCTTAATTACATTTATCCTGCCGAAAGCCGGTCATACGAGAGCGCAGCGGATAATGGAAACCCCGCCGTGCAGCCGGCGCCGGCTACGAAACCAGGAAGCTTCGGCACTTAATGAGATTAAATTCGCTCCCGTGCCTCGAAAAAGGAAGCGGAAGCAGGAAGCAAGGCCGCAAAAAAAAATTAGTCCGCAAACCGCGGGCTAAATTGTATGTTGTGTCGAGTGATACGAGTCAAGCGGGATAGATTTTTCAAAACTTTAGGAGCTTCATGGCCCGCAATTTTGAAAATTTTTGAAATGGTCGGGACATTCTCGCACGTACACACAGATACAATTAGAACCGTTTGTGAATATTTTAAAAAGTATAATGTACTCGTAGAGCTTTTTCTATTTTTTTCTAGCTTTGCTAGTGCGAAACTAAAAATTTTTGTGACAAAGAGCGAGTTAGATAATACAAAAATAGCTTTTCAATTGCTATTCTAACGTAGATTGACGCGAATAACACAAATCTCGAGAAAAGGTCACGGTTTAACATGTTTAATTTGACGGCATCCAAATGTACCTATAATAAAAGGTACGATAATATAATAAAAGAGATGACAGAAAGAAGAGGGGGAGAGTAAGAAAGTTGTCAATCATCAGGATATTTCTGTACTTTTTCGATGAGGAGTGAAGGAAAAAAAGATTTGGGACACACAAAAATATCTATTGCCAGCAGATGTGTTATAATGGAGCCATCTTGACTGTGCAAATAATTGTATAAACAACGTACGACTGTTAGGTAGAAAAGCAATTGAGAAAGGAATTAACAGATAGCAGAAATCTCGAGAGCAATGTTCAGAAATTTATGCACAAAATTGCGCATGTATTATTATCAATTTTATTCCTTCAAATTTGTCCAGAAAATTGTATGCGTGTGCGGTGTTTTTCCACAAATTTTAATTTTCCTATAAAAGATAATATTGTTTTGAGTCAAAAGTTTCAGTTGGTATGATTAAGTTTCGTGGAACTCATTAAGAAAACATTTACTCACCTTCTTTGATGTCTTTGCAGACAAAGATCCATATCCGATAGACGCATTGCCGACGTGCAATCATGCGCTTAATCTCTGTCTACGTGGGAAACCTTGCAGTCAGATCTTCAAGGATTTCAAAACCAACTGCAAGATTCAAGAAGGCCAGTGCAAAATGGAGAACCGGTGAGCGAACTAACAGTTTCACATTTATCTGCTTTTTATTTATTAATTAATCCCTTTCGCGGTTCTGTATCCTCGTTACGTCGTAATACCGTAGAGATACACGGTACCAGATGCGTTTGAATCAAAAAACTAAATTTGCAGTAATAAAATGACACAAATATTTACTTTGAAATGGAGAGATGTGTGATGGGAGATTTAATTGAAAGACTCGATAAACGTGAGCTGCACAGGTTTATTTTCTTTAATTCATCTTCCATATATTCATCCATAACATAACAACATCATTAATTTGTGATACTATGTATTTGTTTAGTATAAAAATTTGCACATGTTTAAACAAATACAAATGAAAAAGTCTTATTTTATGTTGCTGCGGCAAATGTATATTAAAAGAATGGTTTTTTTTTATGGAAGAGAATTGAAAATGGGATGTCGTGATTATAAAACAAATTAATTTTATTACGAATATAACGTATGATAGAGCCACATGACGGTTATTAAAAGGTAATGGTCATAATGAATGAAAGTGGTATCATTTAGAATTTAAAAAGGAATTTGTCGGCATCAATTCCGACATACTGGAGATTTTCGCTGATTGTGTTACACTAATTTGATACCGCACGCAAAATTTTTACTTTGATTATCTCAAATGTCCGCGAGGCTATCTCTATCTAGTAGGATTTAATCCCGTTATCCAGTAGATTTCTGTTTTAAAATCCATGCAAGGAAGAGGAAATTAGTTACGCTCTAGTTAGTTAAAGTAACTCGTCGCGGAAATTAGTTGCATCACCTGCGATAAATAATCCGACGGAGCGAAGGGCAGTTCGGTGGAGCACTCGCGAAGACAAACGGTACGCCGATGGGCGCGCGGTTAATTAATTGTTTGCATGTAATTAACTCGTAGGAACAAAGCAGGGGAATTGTCGCGCGGGTCGCGCATCGACGGTAAATTACATTTTCCACCGTAGTTTTAAAAGTTGCGCGCCTCGCGCCGCGCTATCTCGTTTTATTTTGCCGCGGAATTTCCGCGGCCACTTTGTCCCGATCCCATTAAACCCCGAGATACGAGCCTCTCTAGTCTAGTATCGTAACTCCGTCGAGTTAACGCCGAGGCCGGAGTCTGCTAAACTTTCGAGATCGGACACGATGTATCCAAGAGCGTACCTAAAGTTGCGATCTATCCAAGCGCAGACAGTTTATCGGGTTGTCACTTTTCTGCGTGATATAAAATTTTTTAAGTGCCTCTTTTACCGAAGAAATAAAAATATATAATATATATAATGCTTTCAATAACTCTTTTCGATTAAATTTGCCAAGATTCTCTGATCTGAAATCAATATAAAAGTTAAGTCTCTTTTTTGCAAAACAGGTGTCAAGAGAAAGAGATTTATGTGTATAATGAAATTAACTAAGAACATACCTGATATTGAAAATTAAAACATTCTACAATACATTGAATTTCTATATACACATAGAATATCTAAGTGTAAGGAGAGAATAAAAATATTATTTTTAATTTCTTTCAAACTGCATTTTTATTGAATTTGAATTTGAAATGAGGCAGGTTTGGACGTGCAGCTTTAAAACTTTAAAACTTGCGACGAGTACTACGAAGAGTACGAAAGGCTTTGAGTAATATATCACTCGGCATTTCCCGAACGACAGTCGACTCTCCGTTTCCGTAAAGTAAAGTCATTAACGGGCACGCACGCACCTTTTAATTACGATAGTTTTTCAGTTAGTCATTTACGAGTGATCTTTCGCGATGCTTAACGATCTCGTATCTCTCTTATGATTTTTTTTTATCTAATTCCCGTCTTTTTAAAACCGCCATTTTTCTTATCACATTCCTTAATTTGATCGAGATTTTCAGCAGGTAAATGGCTTATTAACAACTTTATTATATGCATTATCTATATACTGTAACGATACATAACAGCGAACGATACGTGAAGTCATTAAATAAAATGTATGCATGAGAATGTCAGTTTCAATGAGATTTCCATGCACTTTAGCTAATTGAAAAGTAAGCTAAAATCTATATCATTTTTTTATCCTCGTTAATGGTCACGTGTTGTTATCTTCTTCGCGAAACATCAATATTCTAACTACCATTAACTACGCGTGCAAATTAGTTCATTAGCTGTACAAAGAGGCGACGCGGATGTCGTAAGCGTTAAAATCACCGGATCGAAAGTATTGTGGAAAAACGTGGGACTATATTGGTCGGAAGTAATCGGTGGGCTCGCTGCACCTGCATGCAAAGCCACATAATTTCCTTCGTGGAAACGAATTAGCTCGCTGCATTGCCACCTCGTTTTCTTCGCATTGTAATTCTTAAAGGGAAAAGAGGAAAATCGTATATAGGTCATCTGAATCAATTCCGTTTCGCAAAAAAAAAGAATGCGTGAGATAATACAAGTTTTATGTAAAGTACCGTAATTGATGGAACAACAAAATTTCAGAAAGATACGGTTTAAAAAACAGAGTGGATTTGATAAGTACGGTTATGGTCAGAAAGGTTATCCGACGTTTTACAATAAATTTTCGGACTATTCGTACGTAACATTGCATAGATTCTTGCACATATCATTTCTTTGCTCCGATAATGCGTCACTGCACATATCCGTAAGCAAAAGCTATAATCTCTCGCATGAGTTTTTTTTTTATCATAAAACTGCACTGTATTTCCGAAATTTATCATAAAACGTCGGACTACCTTCCTGACCACGACTGTACGATAGTCTTTTTGAAAATAATGTACACAGACAGGCCGGAATGCCTAGATATTTCGATATCTCGAGTTATTGAGCATTGCCAATCAGGCATATCATATTTCAAATATTCGGGCGCTATGACTGTTGATTATATAAAAACTGACAACGGTGTTATTGATAATATGGAAATTATTTAAATTATACATTTGAAATATATTTAAATAATCTCCATATTATTTCGATGACACTGTTGTCTCTTTTTGAATAATGAACAGTTGTGGCGCACGAATATCTAGACATAATACGCCTGATTGGCAACGCTCGAAATCTCGAGATATCGAAATGTCCAGGCATTCCTGCCTGTGTACGAGATATAACAAAAAGAAGACCGTGGTGACTATCACTGCGTTTTCAGCGTTAGATGTAGTCTCATTGTCAGCTCATATTAATATAGATGTACGAAACAAACAGTACATAAACAATTAATTTGTGGAATAAAACGACTTGACATGTGCTATTAATTAAATGTGAGAAGTACACAAACTAATCCATAGAAATGATAATCCTGCACGAATCATGACAAGTGAAGGATGCAATCGGTGTTTCATCATAGCTGAATAATACATGTAATATACAATATGTATATGCACATGTTACATGATATGTAAATTAATTTACATGTATAATCTCTAATTAGTTTACGTTATTATAGGAATAATTCATTCATATCGCATGTATTGTCAAGAACGAGGGTTTATTGAATTCGAAGTCAATTCTCTCAAGATTCGAAAAAGAAAAAGATTTGCTCTAATAGTTTTCTTTTATGGTACTTTAATTTTCAATATACAATACCCTTACAACTAAACGTTATATTAAAATTTTTTAGTAAAATTTAATTGAAGTTACGTAATTTAAAAATAGAATTTTCGTCAGCATCGATAAATTTTAATTTAAATTTCTCAATTCAAGATTTTTAATTTAAACATGCAATTACCTTAATAAGTGATCTTTCTCTTGGAGTTGTCTTATTTATAATTTGTGCGTAATAAAAACGTGCTTTATACACATGCTTTATACATACATACATTATATAATGTATAATAATATTTCATATATTATACATGTAATTTTATTTGCAAGTAATACTGTGAAAATGCTTATCATATACAATTAAGTCAACAAGGCTGCGTTATTTCCCCCTTGTACTGCTCGCCTTGAGCAATATATATTTTTTCTTGCTTTGAGATGAAGTCGAGCTTTACCGGCCGTGGTTTTTACGGCGAACATTAATTAAATTAACGGGATCATTAATTGTGGCCTCTCAGGTTGCTCGAAGATCTCGTATCTCCGTAAATTCGTGCGAACTGCCCAAAGGACGACTTTGCGGCAAACTCCTCATCGTTATGAAGTGGCTGGATGCAAGAAGTACATCTTACAGTTATACTCACAGTTATACGTAAAACACTACTAGAGGAAAGTCCCCTGTTATGAGATGAGCTTTTAGCTAAATGCAAAAGAGTTTTGTTAAATTAACAGGCATCAGCTATTGGTTTCATCGTGAATTTATTGCCCTCGGACTGAAATCTGTTTAGTGGAAAATTCATTGTTAGATCGTGTAATCGTTGTGAATAAAGATTTGTAATTAAATTTCGATGTTGAAAACCTGCTGTCTCATATTAGAAACTTATCTCATAATAGAGGACTTTTCTCTGTACCTTCATTATCATATTATAATTATAACATTAGAAGCCAATCTTTTCAAAGTATAAGCTTTTATGTATGACGCAACGCATATAGCAGACAAGACTTGCTAATTCCTATATTTAAAAGAAGTATAACAAGAATGGTTTCACAGACGGTGAAATTAGATTACACGAGACTAATATTCAATAAATGTCGCGGCGATGGTTTAACTGGCGACGCTACAAAATAATATCGCGCTTTTACGAGTCGCGTCACGGACATGGTTCTGCAAATTCCGAAGAAATCCGTAAAGTTCCTAAGACCTCGTCCTCTTACCTCTCTCCGTCGCGATAGTGTTCTCCTTATCCGTAATAACATTGAAATTCAATCCCACGTTGCTCCCGATAAAAGTAAACTTCGCCGATGAAGTTCCCCGATCATCGGTCTTTATCCCTGTTCCCATTTTCCTTTAATCTGCGATACCGAGATCGAGCAAGATGGTGGATTCCGCCGATCGATATCGTTCGTTATCGTCTTTCTGTATTTTTCAGGGGGATCAGCCGGGTTATTCAACCTTTACTACGAGGGCACTGATAATTA